CAGTTGCCTGCAGCACTTTGCCTTGAGATTTTTTTTTTAATTATTTATTTTTATTTATTACATTTATTTATTGTGTGTGTGTGTGGCCAGCTCAGCCCACCAGGGGGTGGGGCTGGCTGGCATGTGGTGCTGGGGGATCGAACCGCAGTCCCTGTACTTTAGACCACTGAGCCATCTCTCCAGCCCTTTTTTTTTGAGACAGGTTCTCATTAAGCCATTAAGTTGTCTAGGCTGGGCTTTAACTTGCGATCCTCCTGCCTCAGCCTCCCAGAGTGTTGCAGTTATAGGTACATGCCACCACACATAGCTCTAGAATATTGACTTGTTCATCACATCAATGAGAGGACAAGCTTTTACTTACTGTTCCGCTTGCCTTCAGAATAGTACTTTTCCAACTGGAAATCGCTGCCCCAGAGGGACTCTGACAATCCTGAGTGCCTGAAATTGTATGTCTTGTCAGATTCTCAAGGCAGTTACCTAATAAAAGCTGAGGACCTCTAACCTAACCTGGAAAATCTGAGGGATCCATGAGCCTTAATTAAAAATGAACCATCTAAAGTGTGCAAGGGAGCACATGTCTGTAATCCCAGCACTTGGGAGGGTGAGGCAGGAGGATCACCACAAGTTTGAGGCCAGTCAGAGCTACATCATGAGTTCAAGGCCAGCCTGAACTACAGGTGAGACCCTGTCTCAAAAACAAAATAAGAACCATACAGACTCTACAGTTGCAGTGACTCCATTTTCATGGGGCCTGAGCCTCTGATGAGTCCTTTCTTTGTTTCTGATGGCAGAATATCTTATTAGGCAAAGCCACCTCAATCTAAAGAGACCGATGGCCTAGTCCTTCAGCATGGCTCTGAAGTGTGCAACCTCTGGTTGCCAAGGTACTGTTGTCTAGACAAATAGAGAAAGCTTCACTCTTTGCAGAAAGACTACTGGCCCTTTAGGGCCTCTGGAATAGAGAAAACAGGTGACTGATCCTAGAGTGTGGTGTATGTACCATTGGTCTCAGTTGTGCATTTTTTCCAGAGTCAGGAAAGGGGAAAGGTAAAGTTTTAAGTTACATACACAGGTGGGTTTTTTTTGTGTTTTTTCTTGCTGGGAAAAGTAGAGGGGACCAGCATAGGGAAAGGACAGAGCCAGCATTTTTGTCTTCATGCCTAGTTCTCTTGAAGTGGTGTTTTACTGAAATGGAACAGCTTTTCAGAGAAACAGGGGTAGATGAAAAGCAAGTCTGTTCCACTGCCAAGGCTGGGAAGTTCTCTCTGCCAGCTGCAGGCCCATTTCGTATTTCCTCCTCTTGGAGGAAACGACTGCTAACAGCTCTTGTCTGCTATCCTACTAAATACCTTCCATCGCTTGGGAAGTGTCACACTTCCCTAGTAAACAGGGCACATACACACACAGATACATTTAGAGGAATGGTGTGTGTCACTCAGTGTGTGCTGGAAGGAAGTCTAAAACTGTCAAGCGCATCACAGAATTTGAGGAAAACTTTCTCTCTAAGGCATTGTCATTATCAAAGAGAACGTGTAAGTGTAAATAGACAAGTAGTAAAGCCAAAAACATGTATTTCACATATATCATAATGTAGGGATCCATTCGTCTTACTGCAAATGGCTTTACCGAGGGAGGCTTGGCCACAGGAATGAGAGACAAGAAGACAAAAGCTGGGCTAGGTGGTCACTAGTCTGCCTGATGGGCAAGACTAACTCAATGCGCAACAAAATGATCCTTTATTTATACTTTTGCAAAGTTTGTAAAGTATGACACAAGGTTGCCTAGCGACTAATAGCCAAACTTAACCAGACAGGATGTTTGTCTCAGGAGTGAGGTACTTTGTTTGCTTTGTCCCATCTATACATACTTGATCAATTTCCTAGCTTTCTGCAGCTCTCAGCATAGTAACAAAAATGTTACAAACTACCTACAAACTATTCTGGAACTTACTTTTCCGGATTTAAGAACTGTTGTAGGTCAACCTTCCCCACACCCCTAGACCTGGAGCTAAACTCTTGTCTATTTGAGACAGGGTCTAAACTCATGCAATTCAGGCTGGCCTTTAGCTCTCTTTGAGGCCAAGCTGGTCTTGAACTCACAACGATCCTCCTGCCTCAGCTTCCTGAGTGCTGGGATTATAGGCACATGCCACCATGCCTGGCTCCGTTAAAATTTTTTTTTTTTTTTTAATTTATTTATTTTATTTTTGTGTGTGTGTCCAGCTCAGCCCACCAGGGGGCGGTGCTGGCTGGCATGTGGTGCTGGGGGATTGAACCACGGTCCACGTGTTTTGCTAAGCTTGTTCTAAGTAGGTGCTTTAGACCACTGAGCCATCTCACCAGCCCCTCCGTTAAAATTTTTAAAAAATTATTTTTTATTTAATTTTTATAGTACTGGAGACTCAACTAAGGTCTTCACATTGAACTACAGCCCCAGTTTTTTTTTTTTTGAGACAAGTTCTCACTAACTTAGCCAAACTGCCCAAGCTGGCCTCAAACTTGCAGTCCTCTTGACAGCCTCTCAGAATGCTAGGATTATAGATGTGAAAATCAGCATAGTGTTCTATATAAGGATTACAGCATAAGTTGTTTAAGCAACTCCCCTTTGATACATTGGGTTTTCCTGGCCTTTCATTATTAGAAGCAGGTCTGCAATGACCACTCCTATCCCCTTATCTTTACTGGAATAAATTCCTCGTTCACAGAGTTTGCACATTTTACCTTTTCTCAGCACCTGAACAAGGCTGGGCTTCCCCAGGCCCAAGTCAGTCAAGAAAAAGGGCAGGAATGCACAACAGAGAAAAGTCTAGCTTCATCATTTTCTCACTAAGTGACAAAAGAGACTTTATTTTTATCATATATAAACTGAAACTAATGCCAAACTCGAGTTGTGAGCAAGAATGAGATTATATATAGATTACCAAACCAGTGCTGCAACACATTAAATAGCTATTACTGTAATTACTATTATTATAACTACTGCTGCTGCTGCTGCTGTGATTCCATTCCCCTTTTCCATAGGCCAGTTCAAGTGCTACTTGTTTTTTATTTTTATTTTCTGGGCCATGCTGGCCTGGCATGTGGTGTTGGGGATCGAACTGAAGTCCCTTGGGCCTGCCTAAGCTTGCCTAAACAGGTGCTTTAGACCACTGAGCTATCTCACTGACCCTCAGGCACTACTTGTGTGAAAAGCCACAATTTTGGTCCAAGGAATCCTATTCTTCTAAACTGTTACAGATATTACTGCCTCTGGCAGTTACCTGGCACATCACATATTCTGTCTCATATGATTTTCACTTGAACATCTTGTCATTGCAGCTAGATTAAATTTTAGAAGGCCAAGAACTGGATATGGTTTCAGCTCCATAGTGTCAGCGCCAAGCCCTGGCCAAGCTTCATGGGCTTACTTCCCTGCTGCCTTGTTCAGCCAATAAAAATTGCTATGTTTGTGTGCTCTGTCAGAGCCACCTGAATGTCTGGTCTTCTGCCTCCCTGTAGATGTCCTGCGGTTTGATAACACCTACAGCTTCATTCATGCCAAGAAGGTCAGTTTCACTGTGGAGGTCCTGCTTCCAGACAAAGCCTCAGAAGAGAAGATGAATCAGCTGGGGGCAGAAACCTCAAAATAATGCCTTCTTCTCCAGCGGATCTGGCCCTTCAATGTTGGTTTCCCTGTAGCAGTCATTTTCCACAGGCCGGCAGCCCAAAGAAACTGGGCTGGAAAGAAGACTTCTGGTCGGATCTGGGAGCTTTTGCATCAGGGTTAGGAAGAGGGAGACTCCTTGCTTCTCAAATTACCAGGGAGTCTTTAAGGGCTGGTCATTGTGATGGGATCTATCTGTCCTGAAAACCTTGTCAACTTTACCTTTCCAGTGTCAGCCAAGACAGGGAGAGGGATGCCACTGGGCAACAGCAGGGAAGAAATTAGAAAAGGGGGAGCGATTGGGACCTAACACTTCAGGGAAGCCCAATGCAGAAGAGAAACCAGCTCCCAAAGGAACATGGAAGTTCAGATAGTAATCCCGTAGCTGGTTGCTAAGAGTTAAGGTGGGGACTGGAAGCTCTTCCCTTTTTTTAAATCATCCAGGCTGCTGGTGTCTTGTAGCTGTTACCAAGTCTCAGGAGGGACCCAAGTCCACACAGATCTTCCCGCTGGAAGGTAGCCAGGCATGCCTTTTTCTCTCACCTTGAGAACTTCAGCAGCTCCTGGGCTCTTTTAATTACTAATGATTGTTAAAGAATCAGGGCTTCCGGGGGAATGTTACCTAGCCACTGCTCCTGTACAACACCCCCCCCCCATCAAACAACAAAAAGTACAAGGGTAGTTATCTCTGGGGCCCTCGGTTCATGGAAGGGCCTAGGAGGTAGGAGGTTGGGGATGGAAATGAGTCCTACCTCTCACCCCCTCTTCAGTGCCACTAGCCTCTAAGTAACCTTCCTTGTGAGCAACCTAGATAAAAATGACGAATGGGATCGAGGCATTAGCACTCAGACTCAAGCGGTGCCCGCCAACTGGCTTCCTGCGTGACCTGCACAAGGCCCTGGCAGCCCATCTTTGTGGGAGGCGTGTAAGCAGGCGCCGTAGGTTCCTAGTGCCTGTGAGCGTTAAGTGGCCAGGCGGTGCTGGTGACCGCTAAGGCGGCCAAAGATCCCGGAAGCATCTTGAAGAGCTAGGGGTCCGGGACGGTCGCAACCCTTAACCCGGCAGCTCTCGGGTTCCTTCAACTCGGCAAGCAGCTCCAAGCCCAGGCCAGTCCTGGAGAGCTTTTAAGCAGAGGGAGCGCAGGGCTGGAGCTAGCGCGGACTACAGGGAGCAAAGGCCACACAGGCGGCCGAAGCCAGATCACTTGGAAGTCCTGGCTTTGGTTTACAATGCTCTGTTAGCAAAATTAACCAACGAATAAAGCAACCTCCAGTGCACAAGGAGCGGAATTCAATGTTCCTTATCCCTTTATGTAAGTCCCAAACTCCTGCTGGGGGTAGGGTGGGGGCGGGTGATAGCTTACCGTCAAAGAAACGCATGCGCAGCTCTCTGCTGCTCTCTTCTCGCGTGAGTTTTCCCGAGAGGCCCAATTATCAACTTGCGTTCCTGTCGGGCCGTCATCCGCCATCTTTGTTCAGGGCGTGAAACTTCCTCCTGACCGCCTTCATGGAGAGGGCGGAGGCCCCGCCCCACTGAGCTTGTCAAAACCCGCCTACTGGTTCGAGTGCAACAGCACGTGTGAGTCACTGCAGCTGCGGTGGGCCCGAAGTAGGAGGAAGGCTAAGGAGCGGCAGTCACGTGGTGTTAGGGACCGTCTTCTAATTCCGCACCGTCACTGCCACTTTCAGGGGCTGGGGACAGTTCCCTTCTCTGCCTCCCCCACTGAGCCCAGTCCCCGCGAGATTACCGCTGACCCAGACAGCCCAAGACCTTACCGGCACACAGGCACTTATGGCTGAAAACAGTGGCTTCAATAAAAGAGTTGGTATTTATTTTCCTCGTCTCTAATGATGATAAAAGCTAATTCTTAAAGAATTTCTACCAAGTACCACACAAAATTCCTGCTCATCTTCTTTGTTGCAAAATTAAGGGCACAATAAATCCAAGACACAAGAGAGCCTGGTTACAAGTCAGGGCTCAGTAAAGATTGATTATTCTCTGGGCTTTTACAGACCTAGAAATGGATTTAGGAAGACTAACAGCTAATAAGTGATGCAACTAGGATTCAAACCCAAGACTCGGGCCAGAGAGATGGCTCAGTGGAATAAACACTTCCGTGGCAAGCGCAAGGGCCTGAGTTCAATCCCCGGTTCCACCAAAAAAAACCCAAAAACGAAAAAACAAAAAAACAAAAAACACCCAAAGACTGCCTGTCTCCAGGGACCACACTGTCCTCTCATTATTGTCCCAAAGGGTTCACCGAATTGTAGCAAAGTTCTCTCATTGCTGGTCCTTCTACTAACCCCAGTGCCCCTGTGTTCTGCTCATTTCACAGGAGTCTTTTCACCCATTGTTCATTCATTCATTCATTCATTCATTCATTCATTCATTCATTCATTCATAATTCAATGTCCTGTTCCCAAGAAGCTCCATTCAGAGATCTTGCCCATTCAGTTAGATGGAGTGCTTAGGAGACAAATGTGTCACCTGTTGAGCAGGGACTCCAGAGTCCAGACACCCAGCTCTCTAGGGCACTCAACATCGTACTCTTCCACCTTCATTTACTGAGTTGGCCTTAAGAGCTAGTGGTAAGATTCAAATCCCAGCATCACCACTTAGATGGGCACACTGGTCAGCCAAAACTTCCAGAGAGCTGAGCACGTGAATGTTGTATGACCTTGAGCAAGGGACTCACCTCTGTGCCTCTAGTTCCTTTTCTGTAAAATGGTCCCACGATGGTGGGAAGGTTTAAGGAATTAAGCCTTCTAGAGTCCATAGGAAGCTCAGTAAATAATGACTTATAATTAGTCTTTGCCACTACCCCAGGGAGTGGACACTAAAGGCCTCTTTGCCCCCATTTTACCCATGACCCAAGTGAGGTGCAGAAAAATAAGCAGATTTTGGCTTGAGGTCACTTAGCCATGAAGTGTTGCAACCTCCAATTAGAATACTGGCGTCTTTTGCTCCCAAAATTACAGTCAGCCCGGGGGGGGGGGGGGGGGGGAGAAAAAAAAGAAAAAAAACAGAGCCTGCTGGGAGAGGGGCTTGGGTGCGCGGGCAATTTGCAGACGCTCCCTTCCGGCGGAGATTGCCCCCGCTGTCCTTCAGACTTAGCCCTGCGGCAGGTCCAGTCCCGGGCGGGCGGGCGGACCTTAGTGCTAGTGAAGGTGAAGGCAGTAGCAGAAGCAGTTGCCAGCTGCAGTGGCCCGGCCGCGGCGGGAGCGTCATGTCAGAACCGCAGTCGCGTGGCGCAGAGCGCGACCTCTACCGGGACACGTGGGTGCGATACCTGGGTGAGCGCAGAGTGACTGGCGCGGAGACCCGTGGGGGAGGATGGGGGAGGACGGGGGAGTCGTCGTCTCCAGATGCCTGTGCTGGAGGAGGTGAGGGATGGTCTTGGTTCTCTTTCTTCTCTGGCCAGAGGCTAGCTGGGCTAAGAGAAGGCTAGGGACTTGGCCAAGGTCGCACAACTTTTGTGGGCTCAGCTCTGTCTGGGTTCTCCGCTGGCCAGTTCTCCAAGGATGGGTTCACCTGCACTCACTGGTGCTATGTGAGGCTGTTTCCTCCTCTACAGACATCGCTGAACAGGACGGCCTTCCTCACCCTGTGGTGGTAGTAAGGTGGGGCGAGATAAGGCACAGAAAGGCCTGGCACTCGGGGGTGTCTGGGCAGTGGGGAGGCCCCTAATCGGTCTCTGGCTGCCTGGTCCCCCAGTTCAGTCGCCCAGAACCCAGGCTGGGAAGCACAGCTGGGGAGCCTTGATGGTGGTGACTGCGTGCTCAGCCCTCCCACTACCTCCCTCCAGGTAGTTCACAGCCAGGAAGTGCAGGCTCAGAAAGGTAAGGTCACTTGGTTGAGGTCACTCAGATGCTGTGCGGCAGTGTACAATTAGAACCATCTTTCTCTAGCGCCCTGGCTTGTGGAAAAACCATAGAGAATTAAATGTCTCCTCTCTCCAGGCTATGCCAATGAGGTGGGGGAGGCATTCCGCTCCCTGGTCCCAGCCGCTGTGGTGTGGCTGAGCTACGGTGTGTCCAGCTCTTATGTGCTGGCTGATGCCATTGACAAAGGCAAGAAGGCAGGAGAGGTGAGTGTTAGTTTACCTTCCCAACCCCCACCTCAGTGCCCTTTGGGTGTGGCTCAGTGTGCAGCCTTATGTGTGCCAAAGTCCCTATGGGATAGTCACATCCCCACCCCCTCGCCCAATGGACTCCATACTCCAGTTCGGGTTACTGCATCTCCATGCCCCCACCCTTTCCTGAAGGTGGTGGTCTATATGTCCCTGTGGTACCATCCAAAACCCAAAACTAGGGCAGTTCCTTCCACCCACATGTTCCCTCCCCACTGGCCACTTCCCCCTCTCTGGTCCAGTTTTATCATTTTGTCTGCAAGGTTTTCTGCCTCTTCCTCCACTAGATTAAGTGTCTGTGCCCACCAGGTGCCAAGCCCCGAAGCCAGTCGCAGCACCAGGATGACCATAGCTGTAGTGGATACCTTTGTGTGGCAGGCTCTAGCCTCTGTGGCTATCCCAGGCTTCACCATCAACCGTATATGTGCCACCTCTCTCTATGTCCTGGGCACTGCCACCCGCTGGCCTCTGGCTGTTCGCAAGTGGACCACCACCGCACTTGGGCTTCTGGCCATTCCCGTCATCATCCACCCCATCGACAGGTGGGTATGCTTTTTGCTTCAGGGGTCACCTACTCTCCAAGAAGCTAGGCTGAATGAGGTTTGAGGCACAGGATTGTCCTTGGCTGTGAGTGTGTCCCTCATGTGTTAGAACTTAACTCCATGCCACAGTGTTGGGAGGTGGGGCCTAGTGGGAGGTTATCTGGGTTTCAGAGGCAGAGCCCTTGTGAATGAATGAATGAGCAAATGAATGAACCAATGAATGAATGATTGAATGCCTTTCTCATGTTTTCTGGCCCCTGGGTGTCCCCAACTCCACTTTCTATGGTAAGCCTAAGAGGCATGAGGACATCACTGGAAGGTGTGAAGATACTGGGTGGTGGTGGCAGCAGGGGCAGGACTGGCACTCAGGTCTCCTAAGATAGAAAGGATAGTCTGTGACCTTGTCATGTAATCGGTCAGGTACTTTGGCAATAAAGGAGGAGGGGTGCCTTGAGGGAATGGGACAGAGGACAAGTGAATTTCCAGAAAGTCTAGTGTTGTGAAACAACCAGAAGCAGGCAAGAACAGTTGAGTGTATGGGGTTTCCAGGAGGTATTGGTGACAGGAGCCCAGCTCAAACTTAATGGGTAAATGAAAGGAATAAAGGCTAGGGTGGTGGGTTTGATCCCAGTAATGCATGCTGTGCCAGCCTGGCCCCTATACCAAATAAATAAATTAAAGGCTAGCGTGGGATCATTTTCAGGCATGCTTAAATCTAGCTATCCAAATGATGTCACTGGGAATCTGGGTCTCCGCATCATGCTCCCCTTCTGTACATCCTAACTCACTCGTTGCTTCACTCACTTTCCCCTTGGAGTAGGGATGGCCCTCAGCAGCTCCCAGCTTCCATCCCACCAGTTTACCAGTCCTATCAGGAGCTTTTTTTTTTTTTAAAAAATATTTATTTATTTTTATTTATTACATTTATTTATTGTGTGTGTGGCCAGCTCAGCCCACCAGGGGGCGGGTCTGGCTGGCATGTGGTGCTGGGGATCGAACCGCGGTCCCTGTGCTTTGCCAAGCTTGTTTCAAGTAGGTGCTTTAGACCACTGAGCCATCTCTCCAGCCCCTAGGAGCTTTTTAATAGTGATAGCAAAAAGCCCAAGGAAAGATGACATTGGTTCATCCAGACTGGATGCCCAGCTGTGGGCCATTTTTCCTTTTCTGATTGACCAGGCTTGAGGCATGTGTCTGCTCTTAGAACTAGAGAGGGGTGTTGATCCAGCTAGACCAATGTAGAGTAGTAGGTGGAGGCTCTCTCTGAGATAATGTAACTTCTCCTGAGGCCTAGAATAAGTCCTTTGCCCTCTTTTTGCCTTGCTGTCTTCTACCAGATAAAGAAAAGAAAGATGAAAAAAAAAAAAAAAAAAAGAAAAGAAAGATGGCTGTTATTCTGGAGATGTGAAAGTGGCTTTCCTAAATAGCCCAAAGTGGGAGGAGCCTGTGGCCAAGAGCTCTCCCACAGCCCTGGTCTTCTGGCTTTTAATCCCTCATTAGCACCCCTAGGCTACCTGCTCACCACTGGTACCCTCTTTACAGGTCCGTGGACTTCCTCCTGGACTCCAGCCTGCGCAAGCTCTACCCCTCGGTGGGGAAGCCCAGCTCCTCCTGACTCAGCCTGGGCTGTGGTCCAGGGAGTGTGGATGCCTGGTTTCCTGGAGTCCCTGGCCCTGGATCCTGCCTATATTTAAGCTGGACAGAAGCTTACAGATAAAGATCTCAAGGAGCAGTGACTGTAGCAGGACCTGACCCCATCAACTCCCATGGAATCTATTGTACTGAGCAGAGTGGACCTTGGTGGTCTGGCTCTGTCTTTTGATGACAAAGTTAATCCTCCCATGGAGGATAAGCAGACTGGGTCCCAGAAAAAGCAAGGAATAGGCCCAAGATAATTTGACAAGCTGGGTACCAGGATGCCCTGCTGCTCAGAGAGCCACTTCATGGCAACGTGGCTGGATGACAGCAGATACTCAGGGAGAAACATAGGAGTGCAGTAGCCAGGAACCTCAGGACAGATTCTCCAGCCATCCTATCCCTGGCGCAGGGGCTGCTGGGGCCTAGCTGAAAGGCAGGACAGTCCTGAGCCAGGTGCTGGCTAGGCCAATAAATTCTTAAGAAGTTGAGTTCTTCTTTTCTGTGGGGGAGAAACAGACTGGCGGTAGAGGCAGAACTTCACCTGGAGGAGGCAGACTGTGGGACGAGTGGGCTGTAGTCAGGGGATTGCTTCCTGGACCTGCAAGAATAGGTAGGGAAAAGCAAGGGAGTTTCCCTCAAGGAGGGACCAGTGTATCACCAGGTCCAGTCAAGAGAAACACTAGAACCAAGGAAACAAAATGTACACAAGGGCTGAAATAAAGGTTTGGGTGTTGAGGTGAGAAGGGTGTCATGAAAGGGGCAGTGGGGTGTCACCCAGATCACCAAGGGCCTATGGGCTATGGTAAAAGGTCTAGACTCTTGTGCTGGACTTTTTTTTCCCTTTGGCGGAACCAGGGATTGAACTCGGGTCCTTGCGTTTGCCAGGCAGGTGTTTATTCTACTGAGCCATCTCCCCAGCCCCTGTGCTGGATTATTTAAGAAGTGGTTGGCCAGAAAACAAACCTTGGAAAGGGTTGTCTTAGTCTTTTCTGTGGCTATCATAAAAGACTTGAGACTCAATAATTTGTTAGGAATAAAGGTTCATTTGGCACCAGCATCTTCACAGCTTTAGGTAAGGGCCTCATGCCTCTTTGGCTCACCACAGAAAGTAGAGTTGGTTGTGTGCAGAGACCAGAAAGGGGTGTTGCATTCTCACGAGAAAGGGATTCATTCATTCATTCATCCACTCATTCACAAGGGCTCTGCCTCTGAGACCCAGACATCTCCCACTTGGTCCCACCTCCCAATACTGTAGCATGGAGGAGTTAAGTTTCAACACATGGAATTTGGGGGACACACTCAAACCAGAGCAAGGGACAAGCTGGTGGTTCCTCCCACCATCCAGGCCTGAAGAGATGGGTGGGGGAGATGTGGCAGAATGCTGGGGACAGAAGCTGTAAGAATGAATGGGATCAGTTGGGGAGGAGAGGAGGCCTTCAGCCCAAGCACTGAGTGCTGGGCAGCAGCCAAATAAGTGGGAAGAAATCCAGAGGGCAGGCTCCAGCCAGGTAGGGGTCATGGCCAAAAGCCACTTCGTCTCTTTAGCTGGTTGCTTTGGGGGAAGGACAAGCAGACCAAGCCTGAGTCTTTCATGTGACTATGCTTTGAGGTCTCTTCCAGGTCACTTGGCTTCTCTGATCCTTAGAATTTAGATGCAGAAAAGAGGGCTGGTGCTCCAACTACCAACTTCCTGCAGCAGCAGGAGAGCCAGGGCAGTGGGGTCCTGGTAACTGCTTAACTGTTGGCTTCCTCGGTCAGGGGAATCTGACCTGTTGATGCTCCTGGTGTAATTGCTCCTGACATGGTCTTTGAAAAGCACCTGGGCGAAGCTGAAACACAATGCCAGTGGCACACTGTGATGTGTGATTCCCAGCAGACAGTGCAGCAGGGTCCTCTTACTCAGGGGATACTTAAAAAAATTTTTTTTTGATTCATTGATCTGTTTTTATTATTTATTTATTTATTTGATATAGGGTCTTGCTATGCAGCTCAGACTTGTAGTGATCCTCCTGTCTCAGCCTCCCCAAGGTTGGGATTATGGTGTGAGCCACTACAGCTGATTTCAGTGGCTGGCTCTGTGCATGGCCAGCATGTCATGCGGTACTGGAGGTCAAACTTGGGTCCCTGTGCTTGACAGGCAGGCACTTAGACTGCCAAGCTGTCTCCACAGCCCCTCAGGGGAGACTTTTTTTTCCCCATAATTTTATTGAGAAACAAATAGCAATGAGACAGTTTCAAACCAAATTGGTAGGATGGTTTCAATAATTAACATATTGCATACATTCTTCCTAATGGTTATTTGCTGTACAAGATGCGGACATGATATCCTATTTACAAAAACTATTAGAACAAATTCCTCTATTCATTAAGAGAATGTAACTATATATCTATCCTAACCATTTTGAATACACAGATACAAAATGGACATTCATCTGTATCCCCTTTTTTGTTT